GGGGGCGGGGGCGCTCGGCGCTCCGCACCCCCGGGCCCGCGGGACCACCTGGGAGCGCGCGTCCCGCTCGGAGGGCGAGGGGCGCGGGGAGGACGTCCTCCGCATCCCTCCCGCCCCTGCCCCAGCGAAGGCTTGCTCCCTTTATTTCTTTTTTGGTTGCGGGTTGTCTTTGCTCTGACTCCTTCTCCTGGACCGACCGGCAGGTGCGGGTCTCTTTCTATTTATTATCGGGGTCGGGGGGGAGGGGACGCAGCAGGCAGCGTTGGGGGGCCCGGGGGTGGCTGGGGGGCCGGCCCCCTTGGTGTGTCCCGGCCGCAGCTCTGGCCAGGCGCCGGGTGCGCGCGGACTGCGTTAACCCGAGCGCGCCGGCGAGACTGGGGCGAGCGAGCACCGCGGATCCCAATCTGTCTTTTGGACCCAACTTAAGAAATTTGGGGTGAGGGCTGCTGGGTGGGGGTTCTTAAATCTAGCAGGTGCTGTTCTTGCGAGCAGAATCCACAAGGTGGTAGTATGGATTCTTCTTTTGATTGGATTTTTTTTTTTTTTCCCCTATTTGGTCAGTCGTGGGGGGGGGGGGGAACGGTTTTATGTGCTCATATCCTATGCTTTTTGGAAGGGATCTACCGCTGGATCGGCTCCCACATCCAGGGCGCGTTGCATTAACTGTCTTCTAGTGAGAGGTGGGGCGAGCGAGGTCCGTGCCCGGAGTCAGCACTTAGCAGGATTTGAGGGACGCAGAGAAGCAAAAAAAAAAAAAAAGAAAAAAGAAAGAAAGAAAAAAAAGTTTAGGGAGACCTAGTTATCGTGATGCAGAATTTCCAGTCTGTGTGGGCGTTCCGCAGGCAATACGCAAGGGCCAGGTGAAGACCATTGTTGGTAGGTACCTCCTTCGGCCAGAAATTAAATGACCGGGAGAGAAGAAAGATCTGACTTTCCATCAGAACAAACCAACAGCAGCCGCTAACCGAGCTCCACGGTTGGAAGGGAGATGCTTAACCGGTTTCCTAGAGGGTGGCAGAGCGCAGAGAAATGAGCAGACTGCACAGAAATCTGCACTTTTGTGGGGGCGGTGGGGAGCGGGGTGGGGGGGCAGAGTGGAGGAGTATTCCATGCCTTCAGTTGTCTGTAGGAAGGGGTTAACAGCAATTGTGAAAATCTCAGACAGACGGTTAATGGCACATTGTTGCATCCATCCCTTATTTCCAGAAAAAAAAAAAAAAAAATCTGGGTTTTGTATTTGTATTCGTCCCCATATCGAGAACGTAAGAATTTCACGGAGGGTTCTGCAACTATATATATTTTTTTCAGATTAGACTACCAGAATTGTGTTATCCAAGGAAATCCAATATGTATATATATATACTATATATATATATGGTTTATATGTGTGGCATATATTTGTAGACATGGCCGTTTTCAAGAGTATCATCCTTGACGTGTAAGAAAATGATCAGGACCAGTTGTAGCAACTGGAAAATTACTTCATCAGTTTTAAATCACTGAATTCAAATGAGAGGATTGTGTTCTTTGGGAAGCCAGAATGATTTGGAGCAGGAATTGAATGATAATTGTATTTTCATAATAATAGCTGTGCTTGGAAGCCGTCTTTAAGGTGTTTTGACATATTTTTCTTGGATAAAGGAATTGTTGCTTTCCTTTGTATTTTTTCTTAAATAATGCTGAATGTAGGTTTGGCCTTAAATCCAGAGATCCAGCTAATTTTTACCCAAATCTAAGAATAGAAAAAGATACTTGAGACATAACTGATACATAACTGAGGGGCAGGTACAGAGCTGTTGCTAAATTCGCAAGTGAATGAACTTGAGGATTGTCAAAAGTTCATTATTATTATTTTTTTTTTTGGCATGGAATGTGTAGACTAATGATAAGTATATGGGGGTTTTTCTTTATTTCTGAACTTGGCCTTTTCATTTGGTTTTCTTTGTAGTAATTTGTGGAAAGCTTCTGGTCTCTGCACAAAGATAGCGTGCTTACTGACTAAGCCTGTTACATTGCTTTCAGAATGTGCAAGGTCTTTTTCAGAACTCTTTAGAATATAGGCGCTCTTATGCCCAGACCACAAAAAAAAAAAAAAAAAAAAAGCCTGGAGATGGTTTTCACAAAAGTAAACATTCAAGTGTGCATGGGATCCGGCCTCTGTTTAAGATTGTCTTGTTTTAATTGGAGCTCCATATTTTAAGCATTGAGTATATGGTTGAGTATGGTCAGTAATGCAACTTGTTGATGGAATTTATTTTATTCCAGTGAAGTTTCAAGATAAACATATTTTAAGTTCCTAAATCCTCACTCTGCAGATAGGCTTCTCTGGTTAAAACATTGGGAGAGCTGATTTCAGTATGCTGATTTCAAGTGTAAGGAACACTTTTCTTTTTTCTTTTTTGTATATAAACCAGTCTGTGTCCTTTCTATAATGTTTTCCACCTTAACGATATATGTTCTATTCCCAAATGAGAAAAATATGTTCAGGGGTTAGTTTAAACCAGTTGTGCATTTTTTTTTTTTTTTCTGGATACCATATCCTTTGAGAAGAGACTTCATGTTCTACTTAATTACGTTAAATAATAATAATGATGTGAAGAGAGACCGTGCCTTCTGTGTCATAACAGCTGATTTCTTAAACTTGTCAGCTATCAGTTTCCGATCCAATAGACCGCGTCTGCCCGGTCAGGGAGAGAAAGTGAGAATCTCCGAGGTGAACGCCACGTGGTCGTAGGCAATTAGATCATCTCTTGTGCGCTCATTCATGGGCCATTCGCTCAATGAATATTTTCCAGTTTTGTCATTTTTCTCTCAACAACCTACATGGGGCCTTTCAAAGCCTCCACTGTTCTTTGGTTCGTGAATGGCACGATGGGAAACCCTCCTTTTCTTGGGGAGAACAGAGGGACAGAAATGAGCAGGGGGTAGAAATCAACT